CTTGGCTCCAAGTCCGGTTCCTGCTCGGCGGGGCCCTTGCGAAGGGCGCGGAGCAGCGCGGAGGCTACGCGGCCGCGGGGCGCTCTCGGGGGGCTTCGGCGCGGGCAGGAATCCAGCGGGATGCGCGGCTCGCCTTGGGACAGGCGGTCCGGTGGCTTCTGGAGCCTCCCGCGAGGTTACGCGACGGGCACACGCTCGGGTCGCTGATGCTGCTGCTGGATATTCATAGGAAAAAAAATACCGCAGTTGATTTTATTTAAATCTCGCACTCTGCCTCTCCCCACCTGGTTCTCCTTTTTCCGTGGGAAGGATTGTTACACAGTGTGGAGCGTGTTGAGCTGCCCTAAAAGAGTTGGTTGTGCATGAAACACTTTTCAGCGATTTCCTTTGCATTCAGTTTCTTGTATTTGTACATAATTATCAGCTCCAGAAAGGCCTTTGGCAGGCAAAGCGTGGTAGTTCTCTCTCACGTTTTTATTTTTTTAAATTTATAGTAGATGAGTAAAAGTGATTTTTCTATTGTTTCCTAGCCCCTTTCCTCCGTATTAACATTGCATTCACAAAAAGAGGGCAGATGGTCGGTTGAGCCTGTGAAAGAAAAATACTTGGTAGTGTTGAAGCACTGAATTTATTATTGTAATATTAATTATATATGCACATTTTAATGATAATGTTACTATTTCAGACACTGTGTGCCTGCCTTTGCCAGGATATTAAAGTAAAATTGAAAGAAATGCAAGCACCTTTATTCATATATCTAATTAAAAAAAGGAAAAAATTCTTCTGTCAAGCAAGAAAAAACCAAACAACACTCAAAGGAAAAAAATCCTGAGGTGTCTTCTTTGTGTAAAGGGAAAAGGACATTGCAACTTTTTTTTACCCTTATGTCTTGATGTCCATGAATAACTACCACTTACTTTTGTTTAACTCCTCAATAGTTTTTTTATGCTGACATCAGACTGGGCTTGGCATTACTATTTTAAAATTAGATGTCACCTTGACTCTTAAAATATTTCAGAACAGTGTAAAAATATGTTGTGATTCCAATAACTTAAAAAATTAGTGCACTGACTTTCAGGAGAGAGTTTTTTATTGTCTATTAATAAGGAAAGCCTACTAATACATAAGCAGGGATGTTTAAATTATTTGTATATATGCAATTTTTATATCTGCGTATATATATATATATATGGAACTATATGAAGAGCTTTTATGATGCAGACACAGCATTTTTTTTCTAAAGGGTCCTAATGTCTTTCAGAGTTTAAAGTATTTTTATTTAAATATTTTCTTAATAAGCATCAGAAGTAATTTTCAGGATTTCCATTAGCTATTCACTTTGTTATACCTTTAATCCTAAAGGTATGTGCAAAATAAAAATGCTTTTCCTTTTTTGCTAGACTTTCATCCTGAAAGAGTAAATGCACATAAAAGGGTGGATAGATTTGTTTACATTTTTCTATGTCTTTGTTTAATTGTCTGTGTGATTTTTGGATTACAATTTTAAACACAGAGATAGAAACTAGGCAAAAACACATACATGTAATCTGAGATCAGGATTCACTCTCTTGTGCTGAGGAAAATCTTTGTACCTCTATGTAATTCTTTTTAGAAAAAGGTCTGGTTATCTACTACTCATCTGAATTTTAGGAGGACCCTATTTTGTAACTGGTTATATGGGAGTGGACTGCTGTGATGCACGACGTTTTATTTATGTCATATCTAATTGCTGAAGCTACATTTAATTAGTTTGTTGAGAATGCACTTTTAAGATGCAAAGTGATATATAAGTGCAAGTGTCGTCATGTGATTTAATGAGACACTTGTCCCTTTAATGTTCAGCATTGCCACAATTCTCATAAACTGAGTGTTGGTGCATTTAAACCTTAATACTTAGAAACCTGGGATCTAAACTGGCCAGGAATGCTGTCAGAAGAAGTGCACAGCGAGGCTGTATTTTATCGAATCTCTACTGAAGCAGGACTGTAGGCAAAATCCTCTAGTCAAAGGGAAATCTTACTGTTAATGCCAGTGATTTTAGAAAAAAACCCCTAAACACGACCCTTGGACAAATACAGGAGCTGTAGTCAGATCTTGTTTCCAGTTTGAAACTTTGTGTACTGTGCTGCCCGGTACCTGAATTTTTAGGGAGGAGTTCTCTCAGTGCTGTTTCACTTGCTTGTCATAACAAACAAACAAACCAACCAAAGTCAGCATCAGTGTCTAGTTCAAAATACCATGTAATTATGCGGGTTTTTTTTCCTGATTTCTTCATTTGTTTTCTAGGTGCTGAGTTTGTGCTGTGAAGCTTGCAAGAAAGTAATTTTTCATGTTCCTTCTGAACTAGAGGCTGACAAGTTAGTTGGCAGAGGTGAGAGAAACTATGAAATTCCCAGCTTAACAACACAGCATTGCACCTTTGCTGGAGATGCTGTTAACAGTGGAGGAGACTTTGTTTTTAATGGAATGAATGGATGACTGGAGAGCCAGCTAAACAGCTGGATCAGCTTTTTATGAAGGATACGCCCTGTGTTTGTTACGGATTTGAACACCAGCTCCATGCATCCCTTCACCTTTTGCATAAAGAGCTATTGTCAGATTACAGGATTTAATTTAAAACTAAATTTAAAAATTTAATATTTTCAAAATTTGGAGTTTAAGGCTTACTATTTAAATAAATGCTTGATATTCCAAACTGCACCCATAACCCACGGTCATATGAAGAAGAGAATAAGTCATTTGGACGAAGGAAATGATTTAAAAAAAGAAGACAAAACCTGCTTAACCAGGCAGCAAGAGGCTGCTTCTGTGTGAAACATGGATGTGACTGCTCAGCAGTGCTGGGGCATTCAGAGCACACGAGGGGACGTGGTGCAGAGGTGTCCTGCATGCACACTCAGTTGGGAGAGTGCTCCTGTCTGACTGGACAGTCTGCCTCAGTTCAGGGCACCTTGCAGGTGACTGGGAGGAATAGAGGAGACCAGAAAACATCCCACTCCTATTTGTTTTTCAGACCAGTCTTTCAAAGGCAGCTTTGAAAGGTGTGGCATAGGAGGTGCTGAAGGATTCTGTGCTGCCTCAGACTGAATTTGAGATTCAGGGGTGCCCTTTGTGGGTCCTGTGACAACAGAGAAGTGTGCTCCAAGTCTGCAGTCCTAACCCATATTTCTGTAGAAAGAACAAATAAAGTGAATTGGTAGTTCATCACAATTGCTCAGAAAATCTAGCTTTATAGTGAAAATTCCTTGATCTTACATTTAAATTTTAAAACAAAAAAAACTGCTACAGCTGTGTGAGTGAGTTTTCATAGACTTTAACATTTCTCTATGTAAATAAACTTCATTTATATAAAAATAGAACTTCATGTTATTGCACTGCTTTGGAAGAACTTGCATAATACGGAACTCAATTTTTTTCCCCCCCAAAACCTTAAACAAAACCATTATAGCTCAAAAGACATTACTTACGCATTTATGGAGAAATATTTTGAATTGATAAAAGGACCATACCTTGACAGTGAAATTAGTCATGATTTTCCTGCTTATCATTAGGGTACTTTATATCTTATACTAGAGTTTTTAAAGAAAAATGTCCCACAAAACTATAACTAATGGACCATAGGGCTGACTCATATAACCATCAGAAACAATATCTCCAGTCTGGTATTTGTGGAAATGCAGTGCTGTAATAGGCAGCAGTATAAGGCACATTTAAGTGAGGCAGTGATATTCTTTTCAATACTCTGTTTGCACTGTACAGATGAAAAAAGGATAGGAGTCACTGCTGCAGTACCATAGAAAGTCTAGGAAATCTTCATTTGTGCATTTAAAGGACAGACTTAAGAGGAAGAAGAAATCACATAGCATTTTAAATTATGGTTCCCATCTGTTTTTGCAGTTTTGAAAGCGGAATGAAATTTAGTTTATTGAAAATGTCATTTACATATACAGGATGTAATTCTGAATCTTCATGAATTTTGCAATCAGCTTTCATACAGCAGTGTCCCACCCACTATGATACCATTGAAAGAGTATTGAAAAGTTTTGGTTTTGAGACCATGACACACCTCTTGTGCTCTGCAATGATCATTTGTTTGGAGTTTGAGTCTCTGACCTTCATCCTTTTCAACGTGCCAAATCATCCTCTTTTAGGGCTGATTTTGCTTTTTTTCCAGGTGTGGTACTAAACTACTTGCTGGTGAACTGAGTTTATTGAAGTCAAAAAATCTATTTTAGCCACAAGTGACATAAAATACAATGAAAAATACCTGGGAAGTATGCTGAAATTGCCTGTATGGGATTCTATCACATGCATATTAAAAAATTGCTAATTGTTTGTTCTAGGGTTACTCTTTATCTCTTCCATCTGTCTGCCTCATAATTTAAAGGCCTTTGTCCTCCCAAGAGTATTAAATCACATAGTACCAGTCAGTGCTTTCCTCCTGAGGGCAAAACTTCCAAGATGTAACATCTCCATTGGGCATTTACATTAATTAATCGTCTTCACCGATATTGTAGGGCATGGAGCACGAGGCAAATGCAATAGCTACTGCTCCAATAATGGGCATGTCTGCAAGGATTTTTGTATTTAAATGTACATAATTGCATCTCTGATGCTTCAATAATTTTACCAGTGTAATAGTGTTTTGTTGGACGATATCCTTATAGCACCCATGTTGTTTAGGAAGCACTAATGAATACAAGAGTGGAAATAAATGAAAAGATCAAATTTGAGTGCATAAGTGGGTTTTAAAATCAGTATTGGTGTTGCTTAAATACTGAGTGACAAGCTGTTGAAGATTCTGTCTGTCAGTAAATACAGTTTTTACTTGGGGTTTAGGGTTTGTTTTATGAGGGATATTGTTTTTTGCTGTTTGAGTTATTGTTTGAATATTTTTTTACAGTTGATTTGAAAGAATGCCTTCAGTCTGCAGACTTAATCAGTTCCAGTGATGGGAACTTCAAGGTTCTAGAGGATGGTTCTGTGTATACAACATCTGCTCTTTCTTTGTCTGCTGAGAAAAAGACTTTTACCATAATACTTAAGGACATTCAAGAACAAGTTGAAAAGAAAATACATGTTGACTTGGTGGAAGAAGAAAAAAAGGTTAGGTTCTAATTTCAAGATATCTTACTTATTTGAAATACTTTTTCACAGAATACAGCTTTATAATAAGTATCTGTAGTAAAGTTTTAGAATTCAAATAATCAGGCAAAATACTGGTGTAGCGTGTGTTTTTATTTAGCAATTTTTGATTACTGTGTTGCTTGAGTCAGCAGATTTTCTTTCTCAAATGGGAAATGCTAGCAAGTAGCATAATCAGGAATGTCAAGAATCTTAAAAGCCATGTTTGAGGAATTAAAGCAGATCTTATTCATGCAAAGTATCACAAGAAATGAAAAAGCTTGGAATATTATCACAGATATAATCAGAAATGAAGACCTTGGAAAAACAAATTGTCAGTAGGAAGACTGGAATGGGGAGTAAAAGATGGAAATGCAGGATGGCAGTTAAGCAAAAATACATGCAGTTAAGAATATATGGATGTATTCTCATCTGTCTTTCTGTCTTCTTGACCCAGACACCGAATACCAGGCATGCTAGGGATACAGTTCTGAAGAGAACCAAAAGAAGGTGGGGCCCTATTCCATCTGTCATGATAGAGAACTCACTGGGACCTTTCCCACTGCAAATACAGCAGGTACATTTTATATAAACCTTAATTTTATCACCCATGCTAGTTTTTATGTGACTTTTATGATAAATAAGATGAGCTGTCTTGTGTTATCTACCAGTGACATTCCTGCTATTATTCCTTTGTCTTGTTCTGTCCTATTCATTGTATATCTCGTGATCTTGTACCTGAAATAACTTGTGATCTTAGTTGTCGGAGTCAAATGGCATTGTGCAAAAGTTGGAAAAAGAAAGGAGACGTACTATCAAAGAGAGCTCTTTGGCCTGGAAATCAGTGTGTGTAATTAAAAGAAAAGCAGCAGCAAATAACCATCCACTAAACATTGCTTAGAAAAGGATTTTGTAAACACAGACTGGGGTAAATTTTGCCTGCTTGTCTACATCCTTTCTGGAGCTCGAGGTGTGCACCTTCAGCCTTGAAGACTGAGTATGGCCTGTGTTATTCAGAAAAGTAGTTAGTGGGAGAAAACAAGTAGGCGTGAAAGAGAAATGCAAGAATTAAAGTTATCATAGATCCATCTAGCCTTCACTAGATTACAGACTAGCTGGTAGCAGATGTGTAGAGACAAGTGTAATAACAGAGTCTGTGCAGAGCAATCCTTCTTCTACTAATCTTACCCTGCTAACTTCTGGCATTCAGTAAATAAGGAAAGTGTTTTGGGAGAAGAGTGTTTATAAATAGATAAGTCTAATGTTGCCTCCTTGGTGCTTGTAATGAGATGCAGAGGCTATCTGAATTGGCATATCTCTGAACTGTACTCTATGTGGTCTTTATTCCTTCTTGCCTTCCTTCACTTTTTCTTTAGGTGCAAACCACATTCTCAGTGAATGCACTAACACTAAAGTCTCTTGAACAGGTCCAGAAATAAGCCATCTGTATCTGAATATGCCTTGTGTGAGATATTCTATAGATTGGATTTCAAAATTTTTTTCCCTTATAAAGTCTTCTCTTTAATTTGATAATTTTAAATATTTATGAGTTGAATTAACTCCCCTTCTTATGTACACATATTATAAAGGAAGGCAGTCACATGTCAAGCTGTTCTCCTACTGTTCTGTGAACAGTAAATCAGGTTTGGTTTTTTCGTTTTAGGAGTTTTTGTTTGTGCTAAATATGATCATGAAAAGGTGGAAATGTATTGACATCTGTTGATGTTTTTCCTTGGGCTTAAAAATATCTTCTTATAGGTCCAGTCAGACACAGCTCAGAACTACACAATTTATTATTCTGCAAGTGGACCAGGAATTGATCAAGATCCAAAGGGTTTGTTTTACATAGAAAGAGAAACTGGAAATATCTTTGCTACTCGTGCGGTAGACCGTGAACAGTATCCAAGTTTTCAGGTACAGGCCTATGTTGTGTAAATATAATTAAATATATACATATATAATTTTAAATCTGTCATGCATATATTTGACAGTTGGGTTGCAGGGGAAATGGTAGCAAACAAGATCTGAAATCACCTGTCTATTCTGAGTAATATCCTTGATGTTGAAGAGATAAAATCAGTAGCAAATAAATGGCTGGCCATCTAGATCTTGAAAGTAGTTTTGCTTTTCACTGCTTAATCTCTAATTGCAGCATAAATATAGTGAGCTATTGGATTTACATCACTTCTAGGAAGAATTTTTTAGGAAAGTTTGAAAAGATCTGCAGAAAACAGAAATAATGGTAAACTCTAGATGACTATGGTTTTCTGAGTCTTCAGGCTGTTCAGATCTATTAACAAGGTACACTGCTCTCTCTACTGGCTGAGAAGTGTAAGAAGTCAACCAGTAGAAACAGTTTCTAAAACGTAATTATCAGTACCTATTGCTGCATTTTATTAGGTCATGTTATAATGGGGCAAGTAGTTTTGCTCTTGTTCTTGTTTTGTTCTAAATAACAATATATGCATCTACATTTTGAGAGCTGAGGTGCTTTGTGAACACCTGAAAAAAAAGTGTTCAGGAAACTTGAAAAAAGTGATAGAGTTGGAGGAGGGGTCAGGGAGAAAGTGATTAAAGTACTTAGAGTGCGTGAAGAATGGAAGGGGGAAAGATTGGAAAGCATTCAGAGGTTGTGTTCTGCTTTCACTCCTAAGATAGCAGTAACATCCCAGTCCATGTGCCTGAAGAGCCTGGTCTTGAGAAGGATGTCCTTTGCATGCTGTATTTAATTCTGTTTTATGGACTCCCCCATTGAACTGAAAGTTCTGCATGTTGCTTAAGCACTGAATTTTTCTTCCAGATCATCTGCTTTGCAACTACTCCAGATGGTTATTCACCAGAAGTACCACTTGTGCATACAATCAGGATAGAGGACGACAATGATAATGCTCCATATTTTACACAAGACCTTTTTGAATTTTGTGTCCCTGAAAATTCCAGACCTGGTAAGAATTGTTTTAAGTCTCTGAACATACTTACCACTACTCAGCTTTGTTACACACCAGTATGACTAGGTGTGATCCTGTCTTTTAAGACATTTCAGTGAGGTTCCCTGGGGAGTATTATATTACAGCAAAGACTGAATTTGCAAAGAGCAGCAGTAAATGTTCAAGTAGCTCTCTTCACATGTTTAAAACAGAAATACCTTTTCAAATGTTTTTTTTTACTATTTGCAGATTTCTCGGGAACTAAAAATTGCTGCATTGTGTTCACAGGTGTTGTTGTTGGGAAAGTGATTGCAGAGGACAGAGATGAGCCTTATACTCTGCATACCACGCTGAAATACCGCATTGTGTCACAAACCCCACCGATTACCCCAGCGTTCTCTTTACATGGGGACACCGGTGTCATCTCTGTGTTGCTGCCACAGCTGGACAGAGAGGTGATCTTTCCTGAAGCATTCTCAGCTGTCATTTAGTGCACACAGATAGCTTAACACTGCTCTGCTCTGCCCTTGTGAGACCTCACCTGCAGGGCTGCACCCAGCTCTGGGCTCCTCAGTGCAGAAAGGACATGGTTCTATTAGTGCAGGTCCAGAGGAAGGGTGTGAAGAAGTTCAAATCCAAAAGGTGGAGCACTTCTTCTATGAAGAGAGGCTGAGAGAGTTGGAGTTGTTCAGCCTAGAGAAATCTCATTACAGCCTTTTAGTTGTTAAATGGGGCTTATAAAAAAAGGATTTTTTTTTTTAACATGGGCAGGTAGTGATAGGGCAATGGGAATAGGAAAGTGGTTTTAAACCAAAAGAGGAGATATTTAGGTTAGATGTTGAGAAGAAGTTCTTGACTCAGAGGTAGTGAGACACTGGAGCAGGTTGCCCAGAGAGGTTGTGGATGCCCCAATCCTGGAAATGTTCAGGGCCACATTGTACCATGCCCTAAGCAAACTGATTTAGGGGGTGGAAGTTCATGGGGGTGAAATCCCATAGCATGGGCAGTTTGGAACTAGATGATTTTTAGAATCCCTTCCAAACCAAGCTTTTCGATGACTCTATGAAGTGTTGGCATGTGGATCAACAGACAGCTTCTTTCTCATTTTTTTGTTTATGTGTCTAAGGCTTCTTCTGAAGCTTTTCAGAGACCTGTAATTAGTCCAGAGAGTTTCTGCATAGATTACCATATTCTAGCTAACCTTGGCAGAGAACTTCTTACTGCTCAGCTGTTCAACCTATGGATTTTTCACTTTTTTGTCTGAACACTTTCTGTGTTCAGGAATCCCATGACCCACTGTTTCCTCCTGTTTAAGCTCGATTTGTGGTGCTTCTTGCTTCTTCACAGAGAAGATGAACCGGTTTCTCTAGAAGTAGTCAGTCATCCTATACTAACCAGAAATATCTCCCAATAATTGAAACCTAAACAGTAACATACCATTTCTTAAAATAATGTTCCACCCATTTATTTTTATCAGCTAGCTTTCAAACAGATAGGATACAGGATTTCTTTTTTTTTGATAGAATGTCATGTGAGATAGTTTGTACTAGGAAAAAAATGACATGTGCGTGTAATTCAAAATAATAATTCTAGCATAGGACAGTCATTTTAGGAGACATTGCAGCAGGCACAACTTGTCTGAAGATAAAAGGAGCTATATTATGGCATACTTGTGTTGTTTCATGGCTGAAAATCCATGTAAAACATCACGTTGCAAAACTTTGCGCTTGCAGTTAGAGCGCTTAGCTTTATTAGCAGGAGAAAATTGCTGAGGAAGCTGTCACAGTGACTACTTGAAGGAAGGAGGGATTGAAAAGCTAGTCCACTGCCTATCTTTTAAGATAAACTTATGAAGTAGAACAGGAGATTTCATTTCTGCACCAGAGAAACCAGTGCTACTTCCAGGCATTCAGAACTAGAGTTATTGTCTTGATTTACAAACTTTCTCTTTTTGTGCCTAACCCATCTGTACTGTTGCATGTTCTCTCCCCTCTGCCCACATCTTTTTTCCCCCTGGTCCCTCTTTCCTTGGTTGTTCAAATTAAAAAAGAAAGCTTTCTGCTGTTCTGGTTCAAGTTAGGGATTTAAGTGGGCTGCTTCCTATTGGGGATCCCCTTGGAATTGATAAGGATGCTGACTCCTTCAGTGCCAGACCCTGCCAAATGACAGGCATTGCCTTAACCTGTGTTGCCCAGACAGAGGCTGATTGCAGCACAGTTTTCTTCATCCTCAGTGAAATAAGAGATGTGCATTGAAACACTTCACCTATTGACAACCTGAGGGAATACTCTGTTGCTCCAAAGGGGAGGCAAATAGCAGATGAAAGTATGTCATCTGTATCTTCCAAAACTTCAGGTTCTGGAAAATAACACTGACATTGTGAGAAGCTTTATTTGATACAGGATATAGTATGCATGTTACTAACAAATGCTGGCTGAACTCAGTACTGCTTAGCCACTGAAAATTATTTTGCTCCTTTTCCTTTTGAGCAATAGGGCAAAAAACCCCAAAGCCAATTGTCTCATTTTGTTGGAAAACACTGAATTTAGAGCAGAATTATGGAACAGGAATGAAATATTTAGTTCTACTCCTTTGTAACTATGTGTTACTATGCAGTTAAAAAAAGTGAGTATGAAAAACTTCTTTATGCTTTTATTCTTCTTTTTAGCTTGTGCCCAGTTACACCTTGTTAGTTGAAGTGAGAGATATGGCAGGTCAGCCTTTTGGTTTGTGCACTACAGGAACAGTTGTCGTCAAAATCGAGGATACGAATGACAATGCACCAACCTTTAAACAGTTACAAGTAAGTCTGCATGAGTAAAATGTTTGTATAAAGCTTTAAAAAATGTGTTTTCATCTCCTTTCTAATTTCCTGATGGACAGTCCCTCAAATATGAAGTCTAATGCCCTGAGACAGTTAATGCCAATATAGATGTCTTTGCTTATTCCAGCCACAAGTATGATTCAGGGCAAAGAGCATGTCTCAACAACTGTGTATGCATCTCAAATACCACAGGAGATTTTGTAATATGAAATATATGAAAAAAGAATTTGTTATTCATAAGGAATACATGTAATTTACCCTTTCTGGTCACTACTGTAGAATGTCATCAGTAATATAATTGAGAATACTCTTATCTGCTCTTCTTCAACTTGTAGAGAATAACATAAAAATACAAAACATCCTTTTATCTTTTGCCATCAAAGCAGAGATGTATTTAATCCATTTTGGATTTTTGCAAGTTATTGTTGGTTTATTTATATATTTTTTAACATTTACCCCAATACCTTTTCTAATTCTCAGCTTGATCATGTTGAATCCAAATTACAATCTATAGCTGATGTAACTGAGGGAAACTGCTAATTTACCTTTCCTGTAAGGAGAATTCCAGAATTAATTGTGTCAGTGGTAGTTTGAGTGTATGAAGAAGCTGAGATTTCAATTGTGCTGTCAGGAAATGTTTATTGTTTGACACAGGGTATAAGGGAGGAATGGGAAAAATACGCTAATGCACGAAAACAAAATAAATAATTGCATCAACCTGGTAAATTAACTCCTTAGGTTGAAGTAGTCTTATTTAAATATGATGTTCTTCAGTCTTGCCTTGTGGAACACTATTCTCTGATTTAAATTAATTTTTTTTTTGGGTACTCCAAGTATGAAACACGAGTGGAAGAAAACAGAGTGAATGTAGAAGTACTGAGAATCTCTGTTGTTGATCTTGATGAACCGGGTTCACCTGGCTCAGGAGCAGTATATGAAATTATAAGAGGAAATGATGATCAGGCCTTTGAAATTACAACAGACAAAAACACAAACGAAGGAATACTGTGTGTTACTAAGGTAAGTAAAAATTGAAGGGCTAAGGGAAAATTTATGGATTTTCAGGTTTTGGTTTTAAAACATAACACACAAAGCTCACCTTCCAGACTGTTCCTCAATTTTGGTGTTCAGAATCCAAAGAATTTGGTTTTTCATTTCAGAAGAGCTTGGTGCTTTGGCCTGGTTCTACAGTTGGAGTTGTTTAGACTTAGGGGTGTAACTGAGGAATGATTCATGGTTTTTAACAGAAATGAGAGAGTGGCAAAGCAGGGAAAGATTGAGTACCTTCTTCAGTCTTGTTCTCTCTGGGAGTTAAGTAGACTTCCTCGTTCAGCATAAAGCCCTCCAGGTTTTATTTTGCAGTGTACTGACTTCAGGTTTGCTTTTCTGGCATGTGAGGAAGTCGATATGCATAAAAGAATTTGTGTCAGTTTAATTATTTGTTATAAGTCTTTTACAGATGTGAGGTAAAAGGCCCATTGCATCTGTCCTTCAGCAGATCCCTTTCCTCTTTTTCATTATCTTTTATAACTGCAATAAGCAATAACTTCTAAGGAGCAGAAAAGATTAGTATTAAAACTTGAACATGGAAATTGTAGAGGTAGAGATGCTAGTAATTTTTAAATTAATATTATTTATTATGGGTTTTTTGTTCCTAGTAATGATTAGAACTTTTTCTAAAGCTCTGTCCCTGGTATATGAACATAGTTGAAATTTCTTACATTTATTGTAATGCTGCAGTAGACTAGAGAATATTATGACTTTAGGATAATATTAGCTCTATTAAAGGCATAAAATGACTTTGGAGAACATGTCTGAAGAATAAATTGTTACTACTTACTGTCAACTCCATAAATTCTCAGGTGGATTTGTAGCTTCTAGAGAGAAGTGTGATTGACCATTGGTGAAAAGGAAACACGTGTAAGCTAAAATAATGACTAACTAAATGGGAAGAAGAAAATCCCCCCACTACATTTAATTGCTTTTTGTTCTTTTAGTAACTAATTTTCAGAATATTTATCCAAAATTTTGCAGTGATATTTCTTGCTTGGGTATTTTTTAGGCCTTTTTCTTTGACTAACTTAAAACTTTACATTAAAAAAAAGTCATGTCCTTTTACTCTGTCTCAATGGCTTATTTGAGGACAGTTGGCTTCTTTTGTAAATGTGGTACAGTTCCAGCTGTAATAATTATGTGGTGAAAAGAATGTTAGGTTTTGTATTGGTTTGAAGGGAAAAAATACCACCTCACCTTTGTTACAGGGACTGGACTATGAAGCTGCCAAGCAAAGGATCCTGGTTATTGGAGTCAACAATGAGGCACCCTACCTGCTGGCTCCCCATTCCCAACAACTTTCCCAGAGCACTTGCTCTGTTACTGTGCATGTCCTGGATGTGGACGAGGGACCGGTGTTTAAACCCTGTCTGTTGCGCTTAGACGTTAAAGAGTGCGAAGATATTGGGACAGCTATTGGGAGATATGTAGCAGAAGATCCAGAAACTGGAAATAGTGAGGGCATAAGGTATGAAGCTATGTTATTTACTAGGTTTTTTTTTTAGTACAGCATGGGTGGGATACAGGAAGTATACAGGAAATAGTTGTTGAGGTTGTATGTATGTGTGTGCACCTGCACACCTATCAGTGTATATGAATACATGTATCTAAATGTGTTTGTGTATACACACACGTGTGCTATGTTTGGGATCTTTAACAAGACAAATTATTCTTCACAGATACCGGATACCACCTGGCCAGTGTAATTGGGTCAACATAGATGACAAATCAGGTGAAATCAGAACTGTTAGGGTCTTGGACCGAGACATAGGAGAAATGAGACGAGGTCAATGCAATATCACAGTCCTTGCAATAGACAGAAGTGAGTACTAAATGTTGTTGGAGTCTCTGTGGTGTGTAACAGATGTTTATGTGCAAATGTAGTGTGGGCACAACTGTAGTGGTTCAGACCAGTGGCACACCTGGTCCATTGTCGTCTTGTCTTTGTGATAACTCTGTCAAATGCTTAGGGAATATTATTTAGCAGGGAGAGCCTTTATAAATCAGGCATGATCTCAATGTTTTGAGAAGTTATATGCTCCATTTAAAAGCCTTTAGTAATTTTAAATTGAGATATTTTTCTCTGGAGTATATTTCTTCTATTTCTTGACAATTCTTTTTTAAGTAATAGCTCCTGGCAGTTGTGAGCTAGACAACAGAGAAAGTAGAGAGGACTTTTTGAAAAGAAGTCATTGAACTTGCAGCAAACAATTCTAACTCTGTCAAAGTTTGCATTTTAAAGTCAAATGTAAATAATGCAAATTTAAATTGTTTAAAATTCTATTGTCTATGTAGTAAGCATGATAGGCATCTGCAATCAGCTATTTCTAGAAAAAGGATTAAAAAGTAGACTTGATGTCATTTCACTGGGATGTATATGAAAAGCATTGACTATTTGTGTATTGGAAAAATTGTAATAGGAAGGAAGACTTCGTTTATTTCTTGTGTGTTGACTTTGGTGACGTGGTATGTGCCACTGATGAATGCATGGTAAATTAAAGGGTAGAGGACAGAAAGAAGTGCTCTGTTCCCTTAGTGTTTTTTTTCCCACAAAAGAGAGGTGAAGGTAGGGAAAGTGTAGTTAATTTTCTCCTTCTGGAAGTTAGAAGGCTGGAAATCTTTACTTTCTGCTTTTTTTCTCTGCTTGTCATAGTATCCTTTACTCCTAGTTTATGAGCTCTTCCTCCTCTTACCCCTCCTACCTGTCAGAGTAGTATATGTTTCCACACAGACACACACACTCAGCAAAATACAGTCTGCACATGCAGAATATGGAGATGTGGAACTGCTGATGCATCTGCAACCAGCCAAGCAAAGAGAAGCAGCCAAGAAGGACCTGTGAGAACTCCCCCTCTCTCTCTGGCTAAATCAGCAGTTGCTTTCTAGCTTACTTCTAAACATGAATATTACAGTTGATGATATTTAATTGTGAAAGTTCAGACCAGAAACTAGTGTGTCAATGTTAGGAGTAAGCGCTAAACCCAGTTATTTTTATCTCATAGATGGTAAAACAGGCACTGGAACAATTCAGGTTTGCATCGTGCCTGGCAACAAGAATTTCCCCCGAATCACTCAAACTGACCACATCATGTGCAGAGACAGAACCCCGATTTCCCTCACGGCGCAGGACGGCGACGAGGCTCCGTACAGCGCACCCTTCGAGTACCGCATAAACGACCGCAGACTGGCTTCCATGTGGAAGCTAACTCCGCACGATGGTATGTGGAAACTTCCTCCTCCTCCTCCTCACTCAGCTGCAGGCTGCCAGAGGAGGCTTTGCTGTCTCTCACTTGGGTGTTCTGAAAGAATAGATTGGATGAATCTCTGCTTGGAATTGGTGTAGTCAGTGGAGGTACTTTGGGGCTTGGTGATGATCTCTAGTGGTTCCTCTAGTTCTCATCCAGTGATGACATTGTTGGCATTCCAAAGGCAAGGAGAAAGATCTGTCTCTTAAACCATGAAGAGGAAGAATCTGTCCCAAGCATCCTTGGGTCAGAAATCAGCTGTTGTCTGAAATTATGATGTAAGAAGATCAGGAGAAGGAACAAAACCTGATATAATGCATTGCATTAACACCTGGAAAATGAACCATAGATTCATAATTCATAAGGAATTTAAGAATGAAATGGCTGGTATTCCAAAGAGAAATAGAACTTTTCTTAGTCTGTTATTATGGTGGAGGACTGGGAAACTGAAACTTAACCTAAAATTGATTATAGGCTGACAAAAAAAAAAGTTCTGGAAGTTTTTATGTTACTACTGCTGTAACCCAGCACACTTATTGTAAAGCTGACCTGAGCAGTAGATAAACAATTTATTAGCAAAGATATCACTGTTTCCTGAAATTTGTTGATATAAAAAGTTAAAGCTGATCGTGGTTTCCTGGTGGTTGCCGGATGAGGGCAACAAGAGCAGCACATACATTTGCTGCTATGGTGACACAAATTAGTTGCAAAGGATATGATTCTGCAACATTCTATCTCACTAAGAAAGGCAAAAGACAGAAAAGTCTGAAAGCAAAGACCTCTAATAGATTCAAGTTTTATATCAGGTAAATTGAAAATCACATTTTGGATGATACATGTTTCATATAGCTCATCATAAAACAACCAGTATGTACATCAGTGTCAGTCTTTTACCTTTTTTTACAAATTATTTCTTTTGGCCCTCAAAGAATATGGTCATTAATCATTGCCTCTGAACAGGGCAGCAGATTAAATGGATTTTTCCCCCACTGGAAATAGTCATTCTCCCTGAATACAGCAATATAACTAAAGAGTAGGAGGGGTATAAGTTTATAATTAATTATTCCAATCACATTACCAAAAGCCTTCTTAATAACTGTCAGTTTAGTTGATGATCTTTACTAGTGAGCTGAAGTAGTGTCATTTCCTATAATGAACTAAATCAACTTCAGAGTTTCAAATCATATGTTTTCAGAGGGCTGTGTAAGGTATGCTTTGTCAGTTCTAATATTTAAAAGGTGCTGAAAGTATAAACCCATTCAAGATCTAGTTTTGTATCAACACATTTAATCTAACTTGAAACTCATTACTGTGGATCTGGTAGCAGTATGGCTGTAACAGAAGGAAAAATTGTAATTATGGTCACATTTGTGACAACTGAGTTCCAAGCATCGTTGACCCTAGATTTGGTTTTGTCTTTTTGTTTACAGATAATTCTTGGTATCTTTCACCAAAGGGTGATATTCCGTATGGAATTTATGAAATTCCTGTAAGTGTGATTGATAATGGAGGAAAGATAGGAGAGAACATAGTGAGAGTTAATCTCTGTGACTGCGTTACTCCAACTGAATGCGATGGCAGAACTCGTCAGCTTGCTGGTGGAAATGTTACCCTTGGTCTCTGGGCCATCCTTGCAATGATCTTAGGATCATTGTTATTGCTGCGTAAGTACATTTTTTTTAAACACAAAGTACAAGTCACTTAATTATAAGATTAGCTGAGAGAACTGGATTCAAACTCGATTCATTTTTTATTTTGGCTGTTGTATAGCTATCATCACTGACTTAATGTACCTGCTCTGTTCATATCAGTATCACAGGCTTCCTGCTCTCATCTTGTGTTGTAGTTACTGTGTGTGGATTTCTGTTTATTTGTTTAAGTATATTTTGTGTGAGAGGTTCTGTATGTTCAGGTAAGTGAGGCCAAAACCACCTGCATTTAGCACTTGAACCAAAAGACTTCAAAAAAGTTTGTGAGTTCTAGACACATTTCTGTTTCTAGGAATGCTGAAATCAATTTCCCAGAGTATTTTGTGATTTCTCTTGTGCTGTGGATTAAAACATGGGGTATCTGATACACTGGATTTCACAAAGGATTTTACAAGACCCCATATAATCATGGAACAATTGAATATACTGAGTTGAAAAGGACCCATCAGGATCAGTGCATCCAAATCCTGGCCTTGCCCATGGCACCAATAATCACACCATGTGCCTGAGAACATTGTCCAAACACTTCCTGAATTCTGCCAGGCTTGGTGCTCTGACCACTTCCCTCCAGAGCCATGGACCAGGACCCCCAGGTCCCTTTCTGCAGCTTTGTTCTCCAGCATCTCTTTCCCCAGTTTACAAACACATCCAGGGTTGCCTCATCTGAGGTGCAGAAACATTAAAGGACAGGGTGAATAGTTCACAACAGACCAAAACCTTGAATATTTGTTGTGCTGCTGGAGCTATCCAAAACAGGTTCTGAGAAGAGTAATATTGCTGTTAAGCAGTGAGACAATGATGGTGATACAGAAAAGCAAAAGGAAGGTTTTTTTTTTTGTTTGTTTTTTTGTTGTTTTTTTTTTTACCACAATCAGTCATGTTATTCTGACTAATAACATCTTTAAAAACTACAGAGGACATGCAGTATCTAGTATTTCAGAATCTGGGTTTTTGGGTTTTTTTCCTTCTTTCTTATCCATTTTTTCTGGTCATAGGAAAACTGTCTTGCTCCAGTTGAATCTCAGCTAGCTGTCCTTACTTAAGTAGCTAGAACACTGGGACATGGACATGTTTTGAAGGCTAGCTAGATCAATGTTTTATCTCAGTGGGGCAGGTACTCAAATTTGGAATATATCCTGAAGATGAATTTTCAGATGTGGGAACCTGCAGTAGAGGAACTGTGTGAAATGTCACCTACCTCTTTTTCACTGCCTCTTGACTGCATCCCTTACAAATAGATCCTTTATTTTACTGTGGATAGGTTTTACCCTGTGCATCCTCTGCTCAGTGCTGTCACGGATGTTTTCTTCCCATCTGTCAGCATCAGGAGGCAACCTGCTAGAATCATTGATGCAGATCTCTCTGACAGCTGATGCTAGAGAAGCTAAATTATCTTGAAAGTGGCTCTTAGCCAATTTTCACAGAAGTTTATATGTTCAGAGATCAAATTTCTCAGTGGGCATTTAGGCAGAACTCTCCCTCATGGGCTTCTTTATTTTTAAGCTAGCAATTTGAAAAGTGCAGAAAACAGAATGGTTCTCTGAATGAAAGGTTTAGTCATTTGTTTAGGAAAGGTATTTATTAATCATGATTCTGTTATTCAAAGTCATTTCTGGGTGAGTTTCTGACAACAAAAAGTAGTATTATTAAGAGGAATATAATGAATACAAGGGATTAAATAAGATTGTTCTATAGCATAATCCTGGAAGTCCTCCAGGATTCTGCTGACCTTTCCTATGAAGCAGAAATTTCTGGTGTTAGGACATTTAGCTTGCCCATTAGTGTCTTATGATATAATTTGACATTTACATATTCAGACATGAAAAATAATCTCCTGTACAACCTAATTTTAGGCATAAGACACGATTTTTCACCTGGGTTTGGACTAAATTTTTCATTACTGTGAAATTGAGTAAGTCACAATGCTTTCATAAAGGATGCTTGCATTTCTTTTATATAACCAGATGTGTTTTAGAAGAATGAAATAATTCAACAATGCAGTGATTACTCCCTGTACTGTTTGGAAAAAAAAAAGTGAATATATAAAGCTTTAAGTATGGGCATTTTTGGAAATGAATTTCTTTTTAAACCAATCTTGATGCTCAGATCCTTAAAATTTGTTATCCAACATAAGTAGATACCACTGTGAGGTAAAATTCATAGTATTATTTCCTTTTCCATAGTAATCCTGATCACAATTTGTGGCTGCTGTGGCACTGGGGTAATGAACAGGCAGGTGACTGATGATTGTGCCAATCACAATTTAATCATTTCAAACACAGAAGCTCCGGGAGAAGAAGTGATGGTAAGTTGTCTGTTTCAACATAGAAACCCGCAATTGTGGTGTCTATAGCATTGCAATTTGAGAACAGGACCACCTGCAAGTAAGTGTTTTGATAAAGGAAATAGGCAAACAATGAAGGGATCATTAGATGTACTTTGCTATTTAATAAGAATTTGAAAATTTTTCTTTAGGCAGAGGTGGTAGTACCATATACATTTAAACATACTTTGTAGTCGTTAGGCTAGCTACTTGTAATTCTTCCAGATTTTAAGGATTTGATTGGCAGCTTCAGGTGAACATTTTAATAACCTTGCAGTCATTTTTAACATTGACATTAGATTGAAATTTATTATTTTGCCTCTGTTGAAAATGTGTTAATGGAAAAACATTCTTTTTCCTTGGAGAAGGATTTTTATATTTAGCAGATAGCTGTGTAAATTGCAGGTGCAATTTCTTCCCTTCCCCTGAAAAATGACCTCAGGTGTAGTTGATTTCATGAACAGGTGTTCATGAAATTTTTCTTGCTTTTTACATCTAAGCTTCTTTCAGTCTACCATGAGCATAGTTCAGTCCAGGACTGCATTCATGAATAACTTAGTTCTTTAGACTACCTCTTTTCTGTCATCCTCCACCCCCTGACATTGTCTTCCCCAAGAAGAGGAGATGAGTTGAAAAATAATTTTTCATGTTGAAAACCAAGAAACCAAAAACTCGTGGTGGCAAGAGTCAAATTTCTTGTTGCCTATGAAGAATAATGTAATGCCATTATAAACTCAAAATACGGATTGTACATATTTCACTGGGATAAAACTTCCATTCTTTGATATCATATCGTCATATCATATTTAAATGCAGATATCCTCTCTTCTCTCATCATAGCATCCTTTCCAGGATTTACTGATCTTTAGACATTAAGGATAGCACTTTGTTCAAAATATCACAGTGCCAAGAAAGAGACTTCTCAAATTTCAATTGTGAAAGTTTCTGATTGCTGTTTCTTCTTTTTGAATTAAAAAGGAAAAGGAAATGAGGAGAAAAAAAATGTCCTCACTACTGCTTTTTTCTTTTTTTCTTTTTTTTTTTGTTTAGGATCACAATATAATTCCTCTACAAAGTACATGCGATCAAGGAGGGTATGGAGTAAAAACAGGGGAGCAGCAAACATTTGAAATGGTAAAAGGCAGAGGGCATACCTTGGAATCAGTCAAGGGAAGTGGACATCAGACTCTGGGATCAGTTAAAGAAGGAGGAGGACAGACTATGATGGATACTTGTAGATACTCCTATTCAGAGTGGCATAATTTCACACATCCTCGTTTAGGCGAAGTAAGTATTCTGAAACTGATTTTCTTTGAAGTGTAGTGGTTATGGTCAATATATACAGGCTTTTGAAGGAAGACATGTAAATGTGCTAGAAAGGTGGCTTTCTGGTTTTGGTTTTATTTCATTTTTCCTCTCTGTGCTCCTCTGCATCCCCTTTGGAATATTGCTCTTTCAAGGAGTAATCCTTGACATATTTCAGGCGTAAGTGTAAATTACTTTCTTCTCCTGGCTTAAGCTATAGGCAGTGTGCTGTTTTTCATTTTGAATAATTACTGAAGCTTTTGTGAGTTTTTCTGAGGATGTCTGTTTGCTTTTAGTCTAACTGCTTACTTCATGCTAATTTAAACCTCATACTTTAATTAGCAATGGAGCAGGAATGAATGTACAGCATTAAAAATGTAGTCCATTTCTTGGAGATCAAAAAACTCTCACTACTTGTCTAACTAGTTATGTATAAATCAGTCTTTTAATTTTCAGTGAATTTTAGTTGCTTGACAGGTTATTTAAACAGGTTCTTCCTCTTTTATTGTTACATATGTAATTAGTAGAAATTATTTCTTTATTAAATACTTATATTTTGTAGTCATAATGATATAGACCAATCATGTGCATTTTTTGTATGTAGGAATCCATTAGAGGACACACTGTGATTAAAAATAATTGAATGAAAGGTAAATCAAAAAGAAATTTTTTTTTTGCAATATGTTCAGGATAACAATTTAAGAAAATGATAAGATCTGTTCTGTTCCTATCCAGAAGGTGCACCTATGCAGACAGGATGAAGAACAGAAGCATTCTGAAGATTATCTCCTTTCATATAACTATGAAGGAAAAGGATCTTTGGCTGGCTCTGTAGGCTGCTGCAGTGATCAGCATGAAGAAGAGGCACTTGACTTCTTAGATCAGTTGGAACCCAAGTTTAGGACATTAGCAGAAACATGCATCAAAAGATAAATGTGCCTTTCAGAGTGCTGAAAAAACCTGTAAATAAGTGGCTGTCATCCTTTGTGATATTAGGTAATTTGGAATTGAGAGGGCTAGAGGTTTATCAAAATTAAGATAGACTGGTAAGAGTGTAAATGACTCTTGCTTTAAATTTACATTTTCTTACACTGGACACATTCTGTCAGAACAAAGGGATTCAAAATATCTTTTCTTTAGTTTAATATAGTAATGCTAGTTTCTACTTAGATTACATTTTGCATTCTTTGTGATTGCTCACAATGCAAAACTTTGTGTTCTTTTAATTAATTTTCCAGCTTCAAAATTTTATTGTATTTGGCTTTGGAGAAGGAAAGCTTTATAACTCACTGTTTCTTTGTTTTCTTTTAATTTTGTAGAAATGAAGCAAATCATGTTGTTGGTGCATATCAAATACCTTGTTAACTTATATGAGCTGAGATACGAAATATTTTTTCATTTTGGACATAAAAATACTCATGAATATATAAGAAAACTTTACTTTTTGATTGAAAATTAAATATATATATATATATTGTATATATGTAAAATAATATTCAAAAGTATATTTTTCTCCTAATGGGTTACCACCCATCAAACTTGCTATCCTAAGGGATTTATGGCATCACCACATAGGGTATCAGCATTGTATGCGAGGATGTATATTTCTTTTAAGGAAATAAGAGATCAAAAAAAATAATCATGCAATAGAGGAAACTATCATACTTCAAATGAATGCAATATAAATCTCATGTTTACTTCACACAAGTTTGTACCTCAGTTTCTTGTGAGTTTTGACATAGTATCATTGCAGAAATTCTGACCATTGCCAAGAGTTTTGTCCAGTGTAGCTACCACTACCTTTTCTACTTGCCCTGCTGTTAAACTGTTTCTTTTTGGAAGTAGAGCTTGACAGAAGATAGGCTCAAATGGATTAAGAACAGTGTTAATAATGTGGTTTTGAGATACATTTTTATTGAGATGCAGAAATACAGTAGGAGAAACTGGTTTGTTTTGAGTGTAGTTTGGGGTAGTTTAGAGGTCAGCGTTTACACACATCTCTGGCAGAAACCATCTGAATCCCCTTTGTTACTGTACTAGATTAAGCATACATATACACTATATATATATATACACAAACACACAAAAGTCTGAAATACCTTTGGTAGATGACAGTAGAGTGACTTGAATGCTGCCATAAGCAGCAGGTGGTATTACACCTCTGCTTCCCAGGTTTTAGGTGTTTTTTTTTTAATATTTGCACTCCTCGTTAAGTAATCTTTCTTCTGCTTTCTGGGAATTCTCTTGTGCCTTAAAAGAACATCTTGGTGCCTATGAGAAACTTGTGCAATTACTTATTTCTGTAGCTATAAGTCTGCTTTTAGGATTTGCTCTGTAAACATATGCCTTAGAGATATTTTAAAAAATTTACTATAGCTAATGATCTGTAATAGTAATAATTGCTAACAACCAAGAGTCATGCTGCTCTAAATCTCAGTCACTGCTGACTTCCAGTGGTTGCAGTTCATTCCATAAGAATTATAGTCAGGGAAAACCCATAACAGGATAGAAACTTAGCAACATTATAAAATACTACTTTTAAAACTATGTTTTGCACTGTAAATGGGCTTCAGAGTATTTTGAGTAAGAACTAGCTGTGGTTAAGAACTTCATAGACCAATGTTAAATATATTTTCCTGTATCATTTGAAAGTGGTAATGAATTCATCCTGAAGTAAATACACTGCCAGTGGCAAGAATGACAATCATCAGCAGCAAAATACTAGGTGAGAAGCAAGGTGTTACAAACTTGCTTCTTTTAAAAAATGTGTGCTAACACTTCTCTTCTGAACACTGCTCATCTTTATCACTGACATAAACAAGATTTACTGTGCATGGACGGTCAGATCTGTGACTGACAGGAGTCAAAATTTCTCTGCTGATGCCAGTGGAGCTGTGCTGACTTTGTCAGGTGAAGATCTGTTCCGTAGTAATTTTCGTGCTGCTTTGTCTTGCATTTTATGTTTAGTTATTGGCTATACACTTTTAAAGGTAATAGTAATGTCTCCCTTTCCCTCTCTTAATGTTTGGTGGTGTTTTTGTTTGTTTGTATTTTAAATTATATAAAAAATCCTGTGGTTCAGAAGGACCTAGGATAAATAATGACTGCACTCTTTTGAAAATTACTTGGAGGGTGGTGTAGAGAAAACTCTGCAAGTATGGTTTCTTTCCTCATGAAATACAGGAAAGAATAGACCAAATTTGTATGAGTTTAAATTGAATTGGCTGTTTTAAGCAGATGGTTGTCAACTTACCATCCTAGAGTTAAAATACTACATTGCTTAAATCAAAATAATACCTTACTAGTCTAATTTACCTTAAAAATGTTTTATTTGGTTTTGGTTTTTTGGTTATTTTTTGTTTTTTTACATTTCAGAAAACATGGATAATTATTTTTTTCCATTTTAAACAAACTAGAAATCTGGAATCCCTTTTACTCCTTCATATCTTTTAAAAACTAAAATTCAGAGTTGAACCAACTGTTTTTGTAAAACCAAGACTAGAAGTGAGATGCTTTAAAAAAAGAACTGCAAAAATATTGTTTTCATTATGTCTTCTAATTATGTGAATGGAAACATTGTATAAAACATTAAAGTTTACAGATACCAAGTACCAGGTAACATTTGTGTAAATCTTATAAAAGGAATATTTCAAAATGTATAATTCACTTGTTGTTACTGTCTTGAATTGCCTTAAAAATTGTGAAGATTTCTTCCCTGCAACTAGGTTATGTGCAATCTACCTAGCTGTGTCAAAATTATCTTAACATCATATTTTTAGGTTTATTTTGTACAACAGTGAGTAATAAATTTTTTGCAAAATAAAAGGATGTTCTATTAAAACTATTAATTTCTTGTACATGGATCAGTTAATGAAGATAAGTATGCCTATTTCTGAAGGAGATTGAATTTTTAAATTTTAATGCAGTGCTTTTGTGCCACTATAGCGCTGTAATGCAAGTAGTAGTTGTCCTTGCAGCATGAGCTGAGGGGGATCTCACTGAAGTTTATACTTGGCAAATTCAGGATATTAAGAGTACAAAGGCATTACTCTGTCATCTTGCTGATAATTTGTAAAAAATACACAGTGCCTGCTTTGCAAACCTCATAAAAACCATTTGAAAACCAGTAGCAGCAGATAACCCAATGTTAATTTGTTTGGCATGTAAAGCTGCAAAATATCAGTATGGTGGGGGTTATGTTATTATGGTCAACAGACAAGTGGAATTGTAAGTAAATTTGGTTATCCAGCTTCAAGGAGAAGGAAATTCACAGAATGGCTGTGAATTAGATTAGATGGGACCTCTGGAGGTCCTCTGGCCCAACCTCTTTGCTCAAGCATGGCCACTTAACAGCTGTTGTTCTGGACCATGTGGATTTTGAGCATCTCCAAAGATGGAGACTACAGCCTCTCTGGGAACCCTGTTCCAGTGCTCAGTCACCTTCAAAGTGAAAATGTTCTTCCTGGCCTTCAGATAGTGCTGCCTGTGTTCTGGGCACCACTGAAAAGAGCCTGGCTCTGCCACCTATGCACCTTTGCTTCAGGTACAGGTATAAATTAATAAGATCAGCCCTGAACCTTCTCCAGGTTGAACAGTTCACATTACTCAGCCTTTTCTCATCAGAGAGAGGCTCCAATCCCTTCATCATTTTTTGTGCCTTCTTTGGACTGTCTGCAGTATGCCCATGTCTCTTGTACTAAGGAGCCCAGAGCTAGACACAACAGCCCAGGTGTGGCCTCACCAGTGCTGATGAGAAGGGAAGGATCACTTTGACCAGGAGGCAACACTCCACATGCAGCCTAAAATGTCATTGGCCTCCTTTGTGGGAAAGCACATTGACTCATGATATCCCCCCAGGAGCTCCAGGTCCTATGCTGCTGCTTATGCCATTCCAGCAGGTATCAGGGTGGTAAAAATGCCGCATGAGGACCAGAGTCTGTAGATGGGAGGCTGCTTCTGGCTGCCCATGGAAAGCCTCATGCACGTGTCCTTCCTGGTCAGGGGATGCATAGCAGACACTCGTTACCTTGTCACCCACATTGTCTACTCCTTAATCCTCTCTGATAAGTTTTCAGTGAGCAAAGAGCAAAATTGTCAAGAGCAGTCAGACTGACAGCTGGGTCTATCTGTCCCTTAAAGCAGAGAGCCACCCACTGCTGTCACCCACTTGCTGTTTCCTCCTGGTGCCTCTGCATGGCTCAGAGTCAGCGGGCACAGATGCTTCTCTTGAGAGCACACCTTGTTCCTCCTTAGCTTTGAGAGCAGAGAACCTGCCCCAATAGTCACTCCTTGTCAATATTTATGCCACTGGTGTTTTTCAGTTCATACAGAGGGTGCCCCTCTTTCCAGCCCTGTATTTTTTGGTGCTGTGAGACTGTAAGAGGAGGAGGCGGAGGAGGAGTGAGGTCACACAGACAGCATGGTGAGGGTCCGTGGCACTCCATGCTGCCTCATCGAACAGCCAGCATCAGAGGGCTGAGCTCAGCATTTGTGTCCTGGCCATATTCATGAGATGGAGAGTGGATACATCCACTATGCTGGGGCGACTGAGCTGTGGAGAAACTGGTGGGAGGGGAAAGAAAAAAAGACCTGAAACTGAGTCACCTCAACCTCAGTCAGCCTCAAGCTGGAGTTATACTTAAGCATAACAATGAAAATGGGATTCAAAGTCTCTCACTGATCTTGCATTTGTCCTGATTTTATGTATTTTCCTAGGGGGAGAGTAAGGGGGCAAAGCGTTCTTTTATCAGGAGACTGTTACACAGCACGCTGTTCTTACTCTTCAGAGCCTTCTGAATGAAAATAAGACAAGTGTTTTAGGTTAAAAGCACTATCTTATTAGAACAAAAATGTACTTGAGATGAGAAGGGCACCAAGCTTGTCTAACAGAAAATAGACTACCATTAAATTTATCATTTTTTGCAATGGTTTTTGTTTTGGCCTTACAACTTTTGTGATTTATCCTTATTTTAGGGTACAGTGTGTGTTTTCACAAGGATTATTGTTGATTTCCACTGAAATATTTATTGATTATTACCCTTCAGTATAAATTCAAGTGGAACAATGGGAATATTCATTCAAATGTCTATAATATCTTCAGATAAATCTGTGACATTAAACAAAAAGGGGTTATATATAAAAATCAGATTTGCTGGATTTAAAGTTGCCCTGGTGATATTGATGATCACCAAAGTTAAACAAGGAGATCTACAGAAGCAGTACATTGTTTT